CAAAAGTTACAAGAAAATCACTAAACTACTTACAATTCTGGTTGCCTTCTCCTCTGCCCATTTGAAGGTACGTACCTATTTATCCTTTTACAAAGGTATGCATGTTACGTAATACGCGTAGCTTTTGACACGTATTTATTAATCCTTATACAAAGTCTCAAGTTCCTTGTCAAAATATGTGCGTTATGCAAAACACAGGGGGAGTGAGGCTTGGCTCTGACTACTCCCGTACCTTACCTACATAAGCCCCTACTAACAACCGTTTGGCCGTGGAAGAATCTGAGTACGAAATTAGCTTCTGACTAGACCCATGCTTCCCTCTTTTTGCCCGCCGAACCATTATTGCGGGGACATTTCCGCGTCGATTTACTTCACCAGTAGGGCTGTTTGTGCCAAGTTCCCAGAACGATAGGAATTGTTCGTTAACTATTTTCCTGAAAATGATAGGAGGAACTGTAAATTTCGGCGTCGTAATCGCTGTTTCAAAGGCTTACGATAGCGCAACCAGCTTTGTATACGCTAGGGAAGTCGATAAAAAGGAGTTTGGCGGGTTCGGCAAACCGTTCCAATTATCAAGTAGGTCAAACGACTTTTCAAAACACGTCTGGAACAACGACAAGTTGACAGAAGAAAATATTGGAGTTGGAACAATCCTGAAATACGAACAAATGGGAAACGAATATCTCTACGCGGAAGGCACAGAATTTCAGCGGCAGGTAAGGACCGAATTCGAAATACGTAAACGTATGCGCATATTCTCTACAATCCTACAGAATGGTTTAGGGAATCTCTGGTGAAAAAGAGATTTTGTTCCAAAGGATACCGATTTATTTCTCTTATTTGTTCTTTGGATTTTCTTCAAGATCTCTAAAACTAGCTGGGTGCGTTTAGTTTTCAATTAAAAACTCACGCGTGTCGCGATGTAACTTCGCGAGAGGAATTTGTTTTGGCTGGTGACGTCACTGCATTTTCAGAGCTTTTCAACATGGCGCCTGCGGGAGTAGATCTAGCAGTAGCTCTGTACAGTTTTGAGCCTGAATACTCGAATAGCAGCTATAGCTTTGTCACCACTTTAGGTAAGAATGTGAAGGAAGTGATGAGGAAGTTTTTGGGCATTTACAAAACCAGGAGTGGTGTAAATATGCAAATACCAACTCAAATGCATCTGCTCCCAAAAAAATTTTGGAAGTATTTGCCTTGGCAGATTCCAACAATGTAGAGATAAAGTGAATATCAAGCCTAACAATTTCGGTGTCATTTGTTTATGTCGAACTGGGGTAAAAACTATGCCTATTCTAATTAAATATCTCATGCAAGCAAGAAATAATTGTGCCTGGTGTGCCTTTCTACTAGGATAGCAATAGGCACTATGTTATGGCGTCGTGTAATTCTATAACGTTTCTCAAGCCTCTCGCGCTTTTCAAAATGGTCACACTTGCATCATCTGCATCTGTGACTCATCCTGGTTCAGTTCTAACACTGGCTATCTTTGAATGAATCTGATTGGAGCTGTTCAGTAACTCCTCTTTATTTTACACCACAT